CTACAGCCAGGCTTGTAAACATCTGCATTAAGTGTTTATTGAAGTGGAATGGTGACTGCAGTGAGTGGGGTTGAAGGGTTGAAGGACAGGGGGGCTCAGGGGGCTGGGGGTGCTGGCAGCAGAAGCAGCATCTGATGTAGCATCTGTCCTGGAAGCTGTTGGATGTGTGGGAGGAAACGCTCCAGTCTGAGCTGCTCCCATCCCCGTGGGTGCTCAGGAGAGGGGAGAACAGGGACCCTCCAGCAGAGCTGCGAGGCTGCCTCATGAACACTGAATTAACACCAACCTCGACAAGCACAGGGGGCAGCCTTATCCCCACCACCCATTTCATACACAGCAACGACTGGGAATGTTGCTGACAAGCGGAGCTGCTCCCAGTAGTAAAGTCAGAGCAGCGTGAACGTTGTTTTCTCTCTGTCCCAGCCCCATTTGTTCGCTCACGCTCTGCTGTGAAGCTTCCCTTCCGCTTTACACACCGACAGCTGCAGGCCAGCTCTTTTTTTTCCCTCCCTTTATACATAGGAAGCATTTGAGTGTAGATTTTTCAAAGGAAAAGCCTTTCCACAGGATTATTTCCCTGCAGCATTTCAATTACTCAAATCTAGAAGAAGAAGAGAGACCTGGAGTTGTGAGGATGTTGTTCACATCCATTGATGGCTCCCACAGGGACCAGGCAGCACAGGCAGGGTCAACACATTTAAGTTTAAACTTCAATCCAAGGCAGAGTAAGCAAGTAAATGTTGCACAGAATATTAAACTAGAGGAAGCTAAACATTTCCTAGGAGAAATTCCTCGGAAAGTGTTTGGACCTTTTCCACTGGAGGATCCTCCATTAATTCAAGTCTTTGTACACTATTCCTCTTCTCTAGAAAAATGCTAATGGAGGAGGGACAAGGAGAAGTTACCTCACTTGGTTTTGGAAACAAGGCAAAGCAACAGGCACCAGTTTTCACAGCAGAAGCCAAGGTGTGTATTTGCAGGTCATTTATTGATTTCTCCAACAAATCAGGCCACCCACACACACACACACACACACACCTCATAGTATATGATCTCTACATGAGCTTGGCGAGTGGCCCACGTTTCATCCTCAGCAGCACAAGTGCTAAAATGTGAGTTGAAGAGCCAGGTAGCTGCAGAAGGAGCTGTTAGAGTGGAGAGGGAGAGCCTTCAGCCCAGGTTTGGTACTACAAGCACGTTCTGCGCTGGAGCAGCAGAGGAGAGTGGTTGTCCAGTGAGGAGGAGCTGGGCCGGAGGTGGGAGTGGAGCGCTGCACAGCGTTCCCAAGGGTCAGGATGCCAGCTTGTGCACTGCTACAGTGATGCTGTCGTGCTTCTGGATCATGATGTTCCTAGAAAGAGAACAGTGCTGAGGCAGTTGAGAAGCCAGCTGTGCCCAGGAGGAGCTGATGTGGATGGGGAGGTGGATGGGGGGTATCATTCAGTGGCTGCAGCAACCCCCCCAGCTCTGTGCTAGACCTGGGGGTCGCTGCATTTCTTCTGTCCACTCCCATGACCAGTGCTGGAGAAGTCTTTGCCTACCACACTCACTGGCCACAGCAGAGGCTTCATCATCTGGGGGGATCCCAAGTGTGGGAAAAGCATCAACATCACAAGGACACAGACCTACTGGAGCCAGTCCAGAGGAGGCCACGAGGATGATGCGAGGGCTGGAGCAGCTCTGCTGTGAGGACAGGCTGAGAGAGTTGGGGCTGTTCAGCCTGGAGAAGAGAAGGCTCCAGGGAGACCTTCCAGTGGCCTCCCAGTACCTGAAGGAGCTCCAGGAAGGCTGGGGAGGGACTTTGGCCAAGGGCAGGGAGTGACAGAACAAGGGGTGATGGCTTGAAAGTGGCAGAGGGGAGATGGAGATGAGTGTGAGGAAGAAATTCTTTGGTGTGAAGGTGGTGAGACAGTGTCCCAGGTTGGCCAGAGAAGCTGTGGCTGCTCCTCCCTGGAAGTGCTGAAGGCCAGGTTGGATGAGGCTTTGAGCAACCTGGTCTAGTGGAAGGTGTCCCTGCTGCTGGCAGGGGGGTTGGGACTGGATGAGCTTGAAGGTCCCTCCCAACCCAAACCAGTCTGGGATTTTATGAATTCACATGCCTATGGCAGTGACGAGCTTCCCCCCTTGGCTTCAGAGACAGGGCTTCCCCCACCTTTGCCAGTTTAGCTGAAGATGAGAAGAGCTGTTCCAGGGATCTGACTGGGGAGGGCACCAGGGCTTTGGGGAAAGGTGAACATGGAGAAAAGCAGCACCCCCGGGGCTGGAAACTCACCCGCTGTCCGACTCCAGGCACACCACGGGTGTATCGGTCGGGTCGGAGGTGAGCTTGGCTGCCTGTTGGGCGAGGACAGAGATGATGCCAGCGTGCTCATCCGAGAGGGTTCCTCTGCCTGTGAGAGGTGGGAGATGTTGGCTGAAGCCACACGTCCTGTGACAGCACTTTGTGTTGAAGCAGCCACCCCCCCCAGGGCTGCTTGGGCCCCTTTGTCTCCCCTGTGGGCTGATGCAGCATTTCCCCAAATTGTTGCTCTCAGAACACCAAAAAAAAGCCTGAATTTAAGTGGCAGGAAGAGCTGCTCCGTTTTATTCCTGTGTGTGGGGGATGCAGAGTGCCAGGGTGCAGGAGGGTGCCAGGGGAACCTTGGGGACCCCACGGAAGGGA